CTAGTCCTTTCTGTGTAATGGATAATGCAGATATCACCGCTGCTTTGAACACTTGAAGATCAAAGGCAAATTACTCAACGCGAACTAATAAATTGTTTTATTAGCAAAAATTATTTCTGTCCAGTTGGCAAATTACCTGGAACTTTCTTTTCCTTTGCCTGACCTATGCTCTATTCTCAACAACTTTTCTTTCACTTCTTCCTTACTCTACTCTTTCTTCATCAGCGTGTGAGTTTCTAATTATCTCCCTAAGTATCTGCAATAAGTAAGCTCTAATTTCAAAGTCTTGAGGTTCTTGATAGAAATGGAAGCATTTCAGTCACATGGCTTTTCTATCCATTTGTGACTTCTGAAACATAACTAAGTCAGTGGAAATCTTACCACTGGGTGGGACCCAATCGTGCTATTATGGATGAAACAGAGTAAGTTAGACATAGTAGGCAGGGACATTTGCTGAATGGAAGACAGGTTCTATTGGTTTTCCTCTCCAGAAAAAATGAATTTGGAGTCGGAATTGTCAGCACACCTGCATGACCTTAAAAGGCCAAGTTGATTTGTCATTTCAGACACTTTGCTTACACAAAAGCTGTCACATGTGTGTTCTCCTGTAGATTTATTTTCCCGCTATGTGCATCAATGATAGACAAGGAGAGACCCTGTCTTATCTATCTATCTATCTATCTATCTATCTATCTATCTATCTATCTATCTATCTATCTGTCGATCTATCTATCTATCATGCAGGTCTGTGGGAATGTTTACATCTATGCGAGTGTATGTACTCTGTGTATGTGCATGTATTATTTGTAGTCCAGAATATAATCTCTGCTCCTTTGAAGCCAGAGTTACAGGAATTTTTGAGATGCCTGAAGTAGATTCTGGGTTCTGAACCATATCTCTGGTCCATTCTTTTTAAAATTAATTTGTATTCTTTTTCTTTATAGGAACATTTATTGCTTGTGGGTATAAGGAAAATTATGTAGAATATAGTTAAATATATTGGTGGTGTATTAAAATGACAGTTGCAAGTTCTCTTCCAAGATCCATGACTTCACTAGCTCTATGTAAGAAAAAAAATAATGAAAAATAGAGGCCATGAATTAAAAAGAGATCAAGGTGGGCCACATAAGAGAGTTTGGGGAGACAAAAGAGAAGGATAAAATGTAATAATAATGTAATATCAAAAATAAATATTTTCAAAAAGCAAAATTAAAAGAACAAATATGATACAAGCAACATTTTTTCTTTTTTGAACAAAAAAAGTATTTATGCAGTTTTTGGTCACTAGATGGGATGGTGAAAGCGGAGGCAAAATGCTGATTAATGAAGTGTAAGGGAACCAGTACTGACACTTGGTAGATCCTAGACATGACAAGTTTCTGTTTAAGGCCTTTTTGTCCTAGTTGCCTCATGTAGGTCTCAAAGAAAATGGCTTGGTTTTGTAGCATGTGCAAAGAGCTTAGTCTATTTAGTACTATTTAGTACATAGAAGTGAATCATTGTACTTTTTCTGTCACAAATTTTTATGGGCATTAGTTTTTCCTCTGTAACTTGGGTGCTGTATTTCTCTTTAAATATTTTTTTTTTAATTTTTGTTAAAAATCCTTTGTAGCCAGTCCTGAAGATACCTGATAAAACAGGATTGGATGAATGGGGAGGAGGTCCCCCCATCAGTGGACTTGGAAAGGGGCACAGTGGAGATGAGGGAGGGAGGGTGGGATTGGGAGGGAATGAGGGAGCGGATACGGCTGGGATACAGAGTTAATAAAATGTAACTGATTAGAAAAGAATAAAATTAAAAAAAAATCCTTTGTTAAAAATTTAGATGAAGGCTTTGGGATACATCAAGCCAATAACCTAGATCCCACTTTTTGAGCTTTTCTCAAGGATCTATATTCTCCCAAATTAATGTAAAAATAAGAATTCTTATGTAAAATTTTCTAACTGGAATAACAACACATTTTTTTTTTTTGCAAAATAACAGTCATGCATGTTACTCGTATTACATTTATTCGTTAATAAAGAGGAATAAATCTTCATTGTTCTTAATTATTACAAATCGTATCCATAGCCAATAGTTCATCAGATAGGAGTGAGGTCCTCTGGCTGAACTCCTCCCTTGCTGTATTTTTTATCAGTGTTATCTATAACAACACAACTGAAATAATGAAACAAATGAACACTAAGAACATGAAAGCACGTTTTATATCTTTTTCACTGAAGAAAACAAATTAAAAAATGTAAAATATGCATATACTAAAATTGTTAAAATTAACATAATAATGAAATCAAGTTTATCCTTTAACAAACTGAACAACTGTAACTCTTATCCATAACTGTTACAGTTTTAAATTTTACCTCATTCAGAAGCAGATCAGCAATTTGATGAATGACTAAGAGGTCACTTAGCATAATTTATAGGTCTTTTATCTAGATATTTCTTTAAATTAAATTATATATAATCAGAGCAATATGGAACTAATAGAAACTTTATTTGTAACAGAATAAAATACCCTGACTGATCACCATTAACTAAGCAAATAACTGATAAGTCCATAAAATAGTATTCCAAACAATAAAAAGGGTTTCATAAATAAATATTTAAATAATTATTTTGGATAAAGCAAAGCTAAGCACATATTAATAAAATATCTGTTTACATGACATGATAGAAATGCCAATCACCAGTATGCTGTGGTAATATGAAAATCAGCTATTGTTTATGAACTGAGGTCAAGATAAGAATTGTGAACATAATCAACTGTTGTTTTGAGTGCAGAAATAATTCTAAAATTTATAATTGTCAAAACCAATCTTTATTCTTCTTACATAAGTGCAGTTTCATGTGCTTCAACTTCTCATGAATAAGTTTGTGTATGATGATGTTTCTCTAAAGTAAAAAATGGCTATCTAGAGCCATAAAAGTTTGTAAATTAATTGTGAAAACTAGTATATGTAAATGTTGAGTCTTTCTATTCAAGCATTAAGTTTTCACCCTTTCACCCTTTACTTCTGTATCTTTTGGGCATATTTGAGAATTTCCCTCGGATAAATCCTTCACTCTTTTTGTTCAGTACATGTACATATATTATTCTATCGTCTCCTCATTGCTTTACAGTTGGGTTTATGTCTTGTAGCTAGATAAATTTCCTAATGAATTCTGAGTATTAATTTATCTCTCAACATCTTAATAAAACTTTAGGCTACTTTGTTTGTTTGTTTATTACAAGTTATTTACTTTGTATCCTGGTTGTATCCCCATCCCTTGTCTCCTACCAGTCCTACCCTCCCTCTTCTCCCCCTATCACACTCCCCTAGTCCCCTGATAGGGGAGGACTTCTATCTGACCCTATCCTCTCAGGTCTCATCAGGGCTGGCTTATCACTGATTCTCTAGGGCTTTGGGAGTAAGCTAATATATTGTCTGCAATTAAAAATAAATGTTTTTCTTCTTTCCTCATCTTTACACTTCCTGGGGATTTCTTATAGCACATGAATAACAATTGCTAATTGAATAACAATTTATATTTAATAATAAATCATGATGGGAAGGGTATATACTTCCTTTACTTTCTCTTAGTCTTAGTATGAGGAGTTTTTGACTCATGAAAAGTCAAAAGGTAAATGGAAATCAAGGACTGTGAATACTCTGAACAGAAAAAGAAATGTTAAACCACATTGAGCAGAAGCTACAGAAGAAACTGCCAATCTTTTCTACAAGTGCTTTTCCTGTGTTCCTTTCAATTTTCTTGGGCATTTGTCTTGTTCTCTCAAGGATTAATGGATAGGTCCACAATCCAGTTCCATATTTATAAAGATTAAATATTAGTGAGTAGCTCACTACCTCTCACATTTCAGCTTTTCTTTCAAAAACTAAAATAAAATTTGTACTCTGATAGTTTTATACATGTGTATGATGCATTTTGCATTTTGATTATTTTTAATTTCATCTCTCTTCTTCTTCTGTATACTCCTCTTTTTCCACATTAATCTTCTTTTTCACACTGTCTATACATGTTTCTGTCCCCTGGTTATGGCCAGGAACACCTTTGTCCTTGGGGTTAGAACTATGTGTTGGAGTTTTATGAGCACATTGATGACACAATGAAGAGAGTGTGTCCCAGCTCTCAGATTCCATAAGTACTCTATCAATCAGTTCTATGATTAGAAATTATTACTAATGATTCTCCAAATAGGTCTAATTCCAATTTGCCTCATAAATATTTATGTTTATACCTTTAGGCAAAATATATTCTCAACATTAATGAGACAAGCTTCTGTTTACACTGAACAATGGTAAAAAAAAAAAAGACTCATGGCTTTATAAGATGCTAAGCATAAGTGATATATAAAGTCTGAAGCCTAAGCAACTCATTTGTACTACTATCTCCTTTAACGCTAAAGAAACATTGCAGATGAGGGGGAAGAAGGGAATGTAAGAGCTATAAGATAAGAAGAAAGCAGTAAAATTATATAATCCAAATATGACACAGTCATTGTAGTCATGAAAAAAAAAAAGCCTGTACCTTCTTTTACTGAGCCTACACAAAACAGAATAACTCACAGTTGTTCAAGGATAGTGAAAGGGCTCATGGGACCAAACCCTCTATTGCTGAGCTAGACTTACAAAGGTTTCAAGAATCAACTATTGAATATTAGGATGAGAAGAGTCAAGTTAGAGAAAAATCTGACTTATCATTTAATATATATAAAAGAAAAAGTAGTTTTCTTCAAAGCGCTGATCCTAACTTTACAAAATCATTTTCCATTTCATTGGAAAACTGAATCAACAATACATGGTAAAGCATTTTTTAAAATATGGATTCTTGATGTAATTCTGTGGTATAGTGTTGAATAATATACAGGATACCCTGAGAGTAATCTCAGTACCACAAACATAGATATGCTGTATAGTTCAAGAGAGAAATAAAAACTAATAGAAAGAAAATTTTTCTTTAGAACAATTTACTTCTCCCATCTATTATTTGCCAAAAGTAAGACTTATTTTCCTACCAAGAGCATGCCCATTGCTTTCTTTACATCTTTGTTCCTCAAACTATATATTAATGGGTTCAGCATGGGGATCACTGTGGTATAGAACACAGAAGACACCTTCTCTTGCTCCAGGGAGTTGTTTGAAGGAGGCTTAAAATACATGAAGGTGATAGACCCAAAGAAGATCCCCACAGCCATGAGATGAGAGCTGCAAGTTCCAAATGCTTTGGACCTGCCCTGAGATGACGCGATGTGAAGGATGTTGCAGAAGATGAAGACATAGGAGATGGCAACAGCTAGGGTGGGTACCAAGGTATTAATCCCGGCAATGATAAATAGGAGAAGTTCATTGAGATGGGTGTTAGAGCAGGAGAGGTTGAGGAGAGGTAGAACATCACAGAAGTAATGGCTTATGATGTAGGATTTACAGAAACTCAGTTTCATCATAGCGCTTGTGTGTGCCAAGGCAGACAAAACACCTAGGATGAAAGCAACCATCACTAACAGTGAGCAGAGTCTAGAGGACATGATCACATTATACAGCAATGGCTTGCAGATGGCCACATAGCGATCATATGCCATGGCAGTTAGGAGGTAACCTTCGGCCACCACAAAGATCACAAAGAAAAAGAGCTGGGCCATGCACTCAGAATAGCAAATCAAATTCTTCTTCCCAAGAAAGTTGACCAGCATCCTGGGTGTGATGACAGTGGAATAGCAGAGATCAACGAAGGATAAGCTGCTGAGGAAATAGTACATGGGAGTGTGCAACAGGGGGCTGACTGTGATGAGCAGGATCATGCCCAGGTTCCCCACTACTGTCACCACATAGATGCCCAGGAACAGGAGAAAGAAGGGCAGCAGGAGCTCTGGCTTCTGTGTTAACCCCACCAAGACAAACGCAGCGGCCGTGGAATGATTCCCAGTGCCCATTCTTTGATGAGTTCTGTGAAAATGGAAAATAAGACTTAGGTTTGCTATCATACTACAATGAATATCCCTGATCTCATATAAAAAAGTTACATTATGGAAGACCTGTACTCCTCTTCTGAATGTAGCCAAAGCTTCAAAAATAGATTAGAAAAGTGTCAAGGGTGTTTTCATCTCCTGTCCAGGAACATCTAATGTATTACTTTCAAATTTCTCTTTAAGCCAGTTGTGAATTTTGATTACAAAATAAAGTGCTTCCTCACTGACTTAAAATATTTGTCTCCTGTATTTAGCAGCAAAAACAATTTTGACCTATGAAGAGAAAGAACATTTGCTGACAGGTGAAGATCAGAAATTCGGTGTGTATTTGCTCAAGCATTTAGCTACACAATTCATGGATATGAACAACATTGCTGTGGCTTTGAGCTCAGCTTTGGCTACATAGGCATAGTAAAAACCTGAGTTCTTGTTCAATAATTTCTCAAAAACACATAACAATCTAAGTGAACCAAACAAAAAAAATAATAATAGTAGTAGTTGCAGTAGTAGTAGTAGCAATAAAACAGCTAGAATAAAAGGTGGAGAAGATTGTGGAAGAGTCCAGCAGGGTTTTTTTTTTTTTCTAGTTTCTTTATATACATTTATCTTCAAAATACACACAAACAAGAAATGAATTCTCAGCCCCACAACATTGAAAATTGGGTTTTTTTTGTTTGTTGTTTGTTTTTTTTTTTTTTTTTTTTTTTTTAAGTCTCTGGTTGGAGGGAAGTTAGACAGGTACCTGAGTAAAAACATGGAGTTACTCCAAGAAGGAAAATATCTCTGACCAGTAGTACTCACCCAACAGCTTTCAGATCCCAAATGTGTTAGTAAAGGCTGAGATACAGCTGATTCCCCAGTATTCTATGATAAAGCACAGCTCTCTATGGTAACAGTTGCCCCAAGATTCACAAGGAGAGTTTCCTACTACTCTATCATTCTCAAAAGTATCAACTCCTTAGTACCCTAATCATAAGATAAAGATCTGTCACTTATGAAATCCATATGACCAATGGAGAATCAGTACAAGACAGTAGCTTTTGATCCTATATACGCTAAAAAGAATACTATTACTATAAACCTGACCCTTCAAGTAGTTGATGCTCCCAATGGCTTTAACCCTGGATCTAAACAAATAAAAGTATGTGCGTGATTTCTTCTCTCAAGAGCATCAAAATATAGTGGGTCGACCCTTTTCCAATATGAAATGCTTTTCTTATGGAGGCATTTTACATGACTGTTTGTGTTGTCAGAGTGCAGTTTATATATTTCTGATGTAGAAATCCAGGTTAGGACAATTTAAAAGTAGATTCAGAACTTGAGTAGAGGGTGTATGCTTACAGAACAACCCTTTCACTGGTTTTGCATAAGAGATAATTAATATCTTATCATCTGACACTTATCATCTAACTAACCACAAACCTGAGAGGATGAGATTGTCGATATAAATAATTTAGGTGTCAAAGGATGGTCCATGTTTCTAAAGCATACCTGAAAAGGCAATTCTACATGATGTGGAAGTTGGACAGCAGGAAGACAGGCATAGTGTCCCTTTGTAATGAACATCCTGAGCATGAAGCTCATCCCAGACAGGCTTAAAGCAGCAAGGGAGCAATTCCAACAAAGAGTATTTTATTTCAGAATTTAACCTAATGGAAAATAGATGTTCCTGGCCTTAACAGAACATATCAAAAGGAATATTAAGTATTTGGGGAAAAATGTAAAAACATTCTTCCAAAGTATCCTTCCAATGAAAGAAGCACTTGTGTGAATAGTTTTGAGCTATACTTCCCACAATATAATCTTATGATGATCTATGAAGACAAAGAATAAAGCCAATCAGAGTAAAGTACTTGTGATTTCAAATGAGCATTTCTATAGTACTCTCATAGACAGCCAGAGTGAACATATGTGTATTAAAATCACCGAATACTGTAGCTGGAAACTTCATAATCTCAGTATCTCCCATGTCTTTTGGGCAACAAAAATACAAATTAGAATAAAAAGTTGAAATTATGGATATATTCAGCATCAATAAAGGCTTCATTTCAAATTTCATTGCTGATCAGTTTGACACTTTGGGCAAGTAATTTAATTAATTTTATGTGAAGTGAGAATATGAATACAACTTTATACAAATCCCTATGAGAAATCAGAGCCATGAGTATGAATACTCAATATATAAAAGAGTAATCAACATTTAATATATACTTAGAAACTTCAATATGGTCATACAGTGTACAGATGTGAAAATATATCAGGTCGGAAGGACGAATATAAATCTGTGTATTTTTCTTAATTCAAAACTCTTCACCTAAGTGCAAGTGATGAAAATATGTTAACATTTGAGACTATTTGGCTTTTATGCATTTTTGACTTTGGAAGTTTAGAGTGAAGTTGGAAATGACAAGCACTGTACAGGAGGACTTAGAAAAACCGTGATATTGAACACCCTTTATCTTGTAAGGTGTACTTTGTCTAGCACTTCTGAGGCCAGAAGGAAACAAAGAAGAGATAGTTGTGGTGGATGGATTAATGATCTGTCTCCTCATGATCTGAGATAATTGTCTCAAGATAAACAAGAAAGCAAGAATTTCTATTTCACAATGGATGATATGTTGGTTTTTCTCCTTGCTTGTTTCTTCTGGAGACATATGTAGCCTAATGTACAAGACACAGCTTCCTAGTAAATACATTCTATAGAAACACTTTAGGAAATCAAAACTTCAAAGTCATGAATTCCCAGGGACATTCTCTGTACTTCAGCTGGTTAAATTTGGACTGGGAATCATTCCTTTAGATTGTGTGACCCAGTAATAAAAAAGTAACAGAAGACGATGGGAAAACAAATAGGGAGACGTTAGCTGCTGAACAGAATATTGAAACAAATACTCCCAGGTAAAGCTGAGATGTTGCATGTGAGTGCACATAATTGTTACAGCAACTGTCCTTCAATGAGATGTCATACTGTTGTCATAAATGAAACTGGCACTTACCTGGGTCCCGAACAAGAGGCAAAGTTCTTATAAACTGCTTGGTTTCTTTTTCATGAAACATAAAATTATTATGATGTTCAAAGAAATATCTTCTTTCTTACACAGGTTGTGTCAAGTACTGAATTAATATTTTTGGCTCAAGTGTATGTTCAATATTCATCTAATATCACAAACTATCACTATCCTAAAGCAGAGCATGCTTAGCTTCCCAGAACCTATAATCATGGGTGTGGAAAGATACAGAGCTTTTATGTGGTGCTCCTGAGACTTGTGACTCATTAGGAAAACAAAACATTCATGAGTTCACAAATCCCCTATAGTCCCCAGCATTTAAGAACAACCTGCAAAAAAAGACTTCTGGACCTCATGTTACCAAGTGTTCCAAAAGTAATGATGATTGTAGGAAAGAAATCCTTACTGTGTATTCACAAGTTGTCAATGAAGATACGAAATTAAGTCTGATGTCAGTTGCTGGGTTTTGCCTAACATTTTATTATTTTTTTCATACAGAAAAGAATTTCTTTTGTTTGGCTTCAAAGAACTTAAAAAAAAAACAATCAAAAACAAATAAATGCTTTGTACTTTATCTGGATGGCCCATAGAGGATAGCTGTTTATGAGCAGGAACTAAAGAAGGTCCCAGGCACTCAAGTTGCCACCATCATGTAGCCGAGTCACACATGTGTGCTCTGCCCAGTCACAAGCCCAGATACTCTGTACTTTTGAAGATTTCCCCCATTACTGCCTCCCATTACTGCCTTCTCTCCTGTTTTCTTTTTTGTTTTGTTTTGTTGTTGTTGTTTTGTTTTGCTTTGCTTTGCTGTTGAGGTAGAATCTTGCTGTCTAACCCAGGACTCAAATTTGCAATTTGCTTACTTCAGCATCCAAATGCTTAGATCACACATGGTCCAACTGCTTTGATTCTTATTTTAAAAAAGAACAGGAAACAACCTTGAAACCTACCACAGAGGGCCTCTGAAAGCTTCTGCAGTATAGACTATCAAAGCAGATGCTGAGTCTGATGGCCAACTGATGGGCAGAGTGAATGAAATTTTATGTAAGAAGTGGGAAATAGTAAGACCTGGAGGGGACGGGAATGCCACAAGGAGAGCAACAGAACAAGATAATTTGAACACAGGGAACTTCCCAGAGACTCATACTCCAACCAAAGACTATTCGTGGAGATGACCTGGAACCCCTGCACAGATGTAGCCCATGGCAGTTCAGTGTCCAAGTGGGTTACATAGTAATGGGAAGAGGGACTGCTTCTGACATAATCTGATTGGCCTGCTCGTTGATCACTTCCCCCTGAGGGGGGGAGCAGCCTTACCAGGCCACAGTAGAGGACAATGCAGCCACTTTTGATGAGAACTGATAGACTAAGATCAGAAAGAAGAGGAGAACCTCCCCTATCAGTGGACTTGGGGAGTGGCATTCATGCAGAAAGGGGAGGGAGGGTGGGATTGGCAGGGGAGGAGGGAGGGGCTTATGGGGGGATACAAAATGAATAAAGTGTAATTAATAAAAAATTAAAAAAAGAATATTAACTGAAAAAATTCCCATATAATATATCCTGATTACTGTTTCCCCTCCATCTGATCCTCTCAGATCCTCATCGTACACCCTCCTATCTGGATTCAATAACTTTCTGTCTCTCATTAGAAAACAAACAAGCTTCTAAGGGATAATAGTAAAATAAGATGGACCAAAAAACAAACAAACAAACAAACCAAAACAGGAAACCCTAACACATCAGAATATAACAAAACAAAGAGAAGAAATAGAGCCTAAGAGAAGGCACAGGAAACAGACACAGAGACCCTTTTGTTTGCACACTTAGAAATCTTATAACATTGAGTTCCTGTTAGAAATAGTCCTTGTTCCCCTTACTATGAACTCAATGGCTGACTCTTTGACCTCCCCACCCCCAAGGGAGGAGCAGTCCTGTTAGGCCACAGAGGAGGACCTT